TTTTTGGAAATGTTGGGTTGTCTGAGGCTTTTGGGCAAAAGTCTTTCCTGCTTGACAGATCCTGGTTAAATGACCCTTCCTTTGGCATTTTAGACAAATGGCATTCCTGAACTTGCAGGATGCCCTGAGGTGGTTTCCCCCACAGCTTAGACAAATGGGCTGATGCCGTGGAGGTAGATTGGGGTTTGGCCTGTTTTCCCCTTGACTGGTTTTTTGCTGCCTGAGGTGATTTACATCATTAGCCTCTTCATAGCCATCTTCTGAGGAGGCTTCATCGTAATGAATGGCTGAGCTGCCCTGGCTAATTGGATTTCCCTGAATTTCTGCTGCTGAAAGTGCTGATAGTTCAGCAGCTTGAGACTCTTCAATTGCTAATTTAAGGGTTAAATCCCTTTTAGCCAATAGACACCTTTGTAGCCTTAAATCCCTGACTCCACAAATTAGTTGGTCTAATAACATGTCTTCCAGATAGTCTCTAAACCCACAATGCAAGGCAGCTGTTCATAGGGCAGCCATGTACCCACTAATAGTCTCTCCCTCAGCCTGAATCTGTCTCCTAAAAGCATGACGCCTGGAAATTAGGAATGGCTTAGGGCAATAGTGGTTGGAAATAATTTCCTGCAATTCTTCCCATAGAACAGTCTTAATTGAACGTGGAGCCAATAATGCCGTAGCAGTGTCAAACACCATGGCTCCTCAAAAACTTAAAAAGTAGGACTTTTTCCTATGATCGGAAATGTCAGCAAGGTCTATGGCATCTAGGAAACAGTCAAATCGGTTTCTGTAGGACTCCCATGTTTCCGCTGTTGATCTGAAAGGCAGGAATGCAGGGTTCGAAGTCATCTCGACTCAGCGGTGCCGTATCTTTCAAGGAAAGTTGAAATTCGCGCTCGCGAATAGTGACAGTAGCTCTTAAAGTGACATTCAGCTTGGTAGTGACTTCGGCTCTTTTTGTAGTGACTTTGCTCAGCGATTCTTTGCCCGGTTGCCTCTTATAGGGATCCCGCCCTCATCGCCAGTGTTGTGGAGCGGCGGAATAACCTGAGGCAAACTCGGAGCGAACTTCAGCTTTTACTTTATTGAAACAATAAAGGGTTGCCGCGGCTGCCGCGCTAACAAGGCAGCCAGCTGGCGGACAACAGCTGATGCCGTTTGACAGCTCCCTTTTATAGCCGGCTGTCAAACGGCATCAGCCAATAGGAACGGTCCGTGTTCCCGCTGGAAACACGGACCGGAGTGAAGACTTCAGCTCAGTCTCTTCCAAATGCCACAATCTTCATTTCTGGCATGTGCTTAAAACTTCATTCTACATATGAGAAATTCAGATTTATGGCATGTGCCTAAGGAACAAATTTTTACAGACTTCTTTTAAACTCCTTAAAATCTTTAGCATGTGGCTAAGGCAGATAAGAGATCAAATCAATGACTTTGCAACTCAACTCCAGGGTTATAATAAAGTATGATTATTAAAGAGCTAATATTCACTGTACCAGTAGGAAATAGACTTTGTATAGACTTTGAACTAAAATATTTTTGCTAATAAGCACAGTGATAAAGGAATCTTACAAAAAGCTATTATATTTATATGTAATGAAATATTCTACTGGCACTTGGGATACTCTCCCCTTTTTGTTTTCAATAATTGCCCAATTTTCCATTTGTTAAAAAGCTAATGTAGACTGAGAGAAGTCAACATAAAGTACTGCTTTAAAAGAAAAACTATCTGCTTGCTAATGCTTTCTTATCCAGGAATTTACCATAGGTGCTTATTGTAAAACCACAAAACTAATAGGTAAAGCCTAGGGTTGGTTTTTGTTTTTGTTTTTTTGTTTTGCTTCAGTCATACTATTTTAGTTGGATACTGGGGCTGTGCAAAAGATTAGAATTAAAAAGGCAAAAGCAGTTTTCAAAGGCATTATGAAACCATTTCCTACCATTGTACAATAATTGCACAAGCCCAGGAAAAGATATTGCTACTTTAAAATGTTTGCAATGTGCTGCATGAATATCAGCACGTGGCTCTAATCTCATTTCCCCTGCTAATTTGTATCTATACAAGTCTTACAGGGTTTTCCGCCTTTTCCTAATTATTTTTCCTAATTATTATCTCAGATTAACCGGGACTGTAATTCTCAGAGATTCTTTCTATTATAGTTACTATTCATACTGGCTGAAGTCTAGCAGGTAGTCTTGCACTTCTAGAGGACACTAGTTTATGGGAGTTTGCTTTAGCAAAACGTTTCTCAACCTCAGCAACTTTAATACTGTATATGCTAACTTGGGAATTCTGGGAGTTGAAGTCCACACTTCAGTAAGCAGTATATTTAATATTGTGGCTTCAAACTACTATAACTTTAAACATCAAAATTCAAACATATCACATTGACACTGTTGAAGCTTCCTGGTGTATTTGTTTAAAATTAAAATAAGCCAAAATACATCTTAAGGCAATTCACAAGAGTACTTCAAATTTATTTCCTCATTTTATGAGAGTATTTTAAGTGTCATTTTATGATCCAAGCTTGACATAGTTTGTTCTCAATGTTAATTCATGCTGTGAATTTCCTAATAAGCTAAATTTCATACTGACATCCAGCTGTGTCTGGCTATGTCAACAAAATGATTGCTTTGTAAAGAGATTTGAGTATTGTTTGTTGCTTGTTATTTGAAGGACAAACATAACGTAAAGGTTCTTGTATGTGTCTTTTGCAAATATTGTCCCCTTTTTAAAATGGGTTTCAACCATAGGGTAGTATGAACTTCCAATAATTAAATTGTTTTTATTCCAAACTATACAATTATCCAATTTTACTAAACAGTTTACTTATACAATTGTAGTACAAAGTCACATATTGCTTTGGTGTTGTTTTGCTCTAGGTTCAAAAAATGCAAACTGTAAGAGAATGCTATGATTAGAATAAGAAAGAGAAAACTATACTTATGTATATACTGTACCTATGACTCAGCAACTCCAGGCTGTATTATCCTATGATCCATAAAATGGTAGCCTGAGTATCTATTGTAACTTCACCAAACTTTATGGAAGAGAACATTAGTAATTACAAACCCAACCCATCTTCAGGACTTGGAGGATGCTTTGTGATATGAAATAAGGCAGATATTGTTTTAATGTGATAAAACATATAGGATATTTATAGGATATTAAGTTTATAAACTTAGTGGGTTTGATATGGAAAAATATTTAGAATTTCAACATATTTGATATATAATGCATTCATCATGCTATTCCCTTTGGGAATAAAGCATTGAAATACAGACTGTGAAGAGGAGTAGGAAATAGTAAGATAAAGAAATTAAAAGTGCAAGAAAGAAGAAAAGGAAACATGGCTGAAACATTTCTCATAACTAGGGAGAAAGGCCTATGTATCTTGTCTCCAGCATAATACCGCATTGCATTTCTCAGATTTTTGATTTTTATAACCTCTTGTATACTTTTAGTTAAAGTTGTGGCACTATCACACGCTATGAATTCCTACTGTCAAATGAGCTCATAATAGCTTAGGTGACACCAATTTATAATTTTTGATACATATTTGAGCTCTTTAATTAAACAATTAAGTCTAACTATTCAATTCTCTGCATTTGTTAATCAACATTACTTCAAAAGATTAGACCAATCTTTTCCAGATCTGAGATATCCTTCCCTCCTTCTATCTTTACATACACATATTCATTTCATTCATTACTTCATATTCTTTGTTATTTGTATCTCTCTCATTCTGACCTAGAATCTACTATATGCCATCATCATCATTGGAAGGTTCCATAAACCATGATCTCTATTGCATGTTGCAAGTCAATCTTAAGGGATAGCCTAGTCATCTGAGAGCCATTGGGCCTCTAGAAACATGCAGATGTATAACCATGCCATTTAAAATGATAGCATAGAGGCTGGTAAATGTCCTCTACAATAACATTATATAACATAAGTACAATAACCCAAAACATTATTCCTGGTTACCTATGCCTCATGTAAATTGCATTGATACATTCTGAAGTTTCAATAAAATTCTTACTATAATTCTCATCAAAAACTGATCTTAGTATTGCAGCCTTGGATATATATTGACATTTATGGGTATATATTAAATATGGAGAGTAAATGCCAAATGCAGTATTTATCAACATGGTAAAAGGTTATAATGCAAAAACATGAAAACTATAATCTAAGCCATAAAATAGACTTAGTATGTCTTTTTTTGTTTAAGAATCTTATCTTAAAATCCAGAGAAAATGACTTGACACAGACCTTACCTGAAATTGCTTCGCCCATTTTGAAACTTCATTCTACCCAAAGCAAAGGTTATTCACCCATATCTTTAACCATAACTCCAACTAAGCTGTAGGTATGTATGTGTCCTGTTAAATTAGAATTGCTGGCAATCTTGAGGATGCACTAAAAGAGGACATATATTTTGCCCAAACACATATCTGTATGTCTAAAATTAAATTTCTGGGTGCTTGTTGTTCAACCATAAAAAACCCTGAACTTATGGTGTTTTAAATCTGAACTGCTAATCAATAGTATTTCATTTATACTGATTACTCTCGTAGAACTAGTTGCCTTTCTTGTGCATTAAATCTCAATGTGTTATACTTAAATTACTTCATTCAAAGATATTCTTGTGAAAAATCAATAGTGGGGAAGAAAAATATTGTGCTTTTACAACATACTGTTTCATGTTGTTGTACTCATATCAGAAAAGTATAAGTTTATAGCTCTGTTTGAAAATAATCCCATTTCTGTATGTTCCTAAATTCATTTTTGTTTCTGTTTTTTTCTCCAACAAAGCTTATAATGAAGTATATAGATTCTAAAATGTTTAAGTTAAACAAAAATACTTTGGGGGGATAATTCTACATGTAATTAATAATAAACCTATAATTATTCTGAAATAAATACTGGAATAATTGTAAATTTCATCTATTACCATGAATGCTTGGATAACAACTCAATTTTTAAAAAATTGTATTTGCAGGGTGCAGCTTTAATTCGAATGCTGGCTAATTTTATGGGTCACTCAGTATTTCAGATGGGCCTACAAGTATGTAGAAACATTTATTTTTCATTCCTTATTTGCTTATCTTTGCATTTATGCCAATGAATTTTTATTGTCTGTGTTTCTGTCAATTTTAAAGACTTGATTAATGGAGAAAAAACAAAATTGTGTTACATAAATGTTGTATCATTGTAGAAAATGAAGGTTTATGTGTAATTTTCCAAGTTTCAAATGAGTTAGTTTTTTCCCATCTTTTAAGCACATTTTGTGGCTTAAAATTATTTATGTGAACATTTTTACAGTATGTCAGTTTAAGGGAATGGATAAACAAAAAGGATTTGTTCAGTGACATTTCTACCTTAACAGAAGAATGTATATAAAAATGCAGGATTTCCTATTAGTAACAGCAATCTAACATAAAATTATTAAGCAAAGATAAACTAAATGGTTTAGGCATAACTGAAGAGATTCCAAAAATTTGTTTACCATTAAAAAGAAATTATTATTCAAATTATATGGTTTAATTCAGAGCATTATTACAAGAGTAGGAAGAAAAAACATAAGCAAGAAAACAAAACAAAACAAAAAAAAAGAAATAGATAAAACATTATAGAAGGTCTATGGCATCTATTGTCCTTTAAAACATTCTGTGTTCTGTAGCAATTAATTTTAAGAAAATTGTTTTAAAATGGCAATACAATGGCTCATTACTGTTTGCAAAATAAAATAGAACAAAACAAAGATAAATTCAGGGAGATAGGTGTTGTATATATCCATATATTACTTGGCATGATGTGATAAGAAGCTGTAGACAATATGTGTCAATCCTGAAGCTGACCGGACCGAAACCATTTTGATGGTTCAGTGTTGCCACACTGAAGTTGATGAATAGAGATAGCTGGGGTTTTGTAGCCAAAACACAATACTTTCTCCTGGGAACCAAGGACATTCCCATCAATGGAAGTTACCAGGCAACTGGACAGGACTTTGATTGGACCATGTGACTATTTGGAAAAGGGGAGGGACTTTTATTTTTAGTTAGGTGAAACCCACAGGGACATTTAGAATTGGTTTTCACCAGCCATCGCCAATATATATCCAATAAAACTGATATTTGAGGAGTCCTGTTTGGGCGTATTACTTGGAACCCTGAAAATATGTAGATAATTACAGTTTTGTTTCACATTGCACAAAAATTATTATTTTACATTTTAATATTTATTCAAAGTTAATACCTGTAAATAAGCAAGGTATAGATTGGTATATTCTTAACGCAAATGTTAGAATTCTCAAATTTGGCAAAGATACCTGCTTATCCAGTAAGCGGATGTTTTGATGTGTATTGATTTTCTGCTGGAACATCCAAAGTTCTTCCAATTCTCTGTAGCCAGGAGAGCTTTGGTGGGGATGGGATGGGGGTGTTATTATATGTATCCCATTTTGGATTTTATGGTTATTATATTATCTGTAGTGAGAACATTTATTATATGTCATGGGTTTAATATAGTTTAGTCTTATTCTATGAATACAGTATATCAGGTTGAAGGATCCTATGATTTCTGACCTCTATCCAATTACACTTGGAGTTTTTCCAACACCATCAGTAGAAGATAGTTCTGTTGAAAGTAGTACAGACATTATCTTATCAGGAAAGTGAGTATCCCCAATTCAAATCTTCCTGATAGGGAAAGTATAATGTTAAGATTAGAAATCAAAATATACTTCATTTAAATGTTTTTTAAATAAAGAATTGGTATGCATTTGTAAAGCAAAGTGCAGAATTTTGCGGTAGTAAATAAGAATGTATAGTGCATTCCTAGAACTTTTGCTGTTGGTCTACAATAGGATTTTAAACTACCTTACTCATCTGAAGTGATTTCTATTGGGCCATGCAAGACATTCAGGTTGGTGAATTTCAGACATATTTCAGGTATATTTTTGTAAAATAATTTAAAGCAAATAATAATCATGAGCCATGGTGGTACAGTGGTTAGAATACAGTACTGCAGGCTACTTCTGCTGGCTGCTGGCTGCCTGCAATTTGGCAGTTCAAATCTCACCAGGCTCAAGGTTGACTCAGCCTTCACTCCTTCCAAGGTTGGTAAAATGAGGACCCAGACTGTTGGGGGCAATATGCTGACTCTGTAAACCACTTAGAGAGAGCTGTAAAAGC